GACCGCGCGGCTGGCGATGGAGCATGCCCAGTGCACGGCCCGGCCGGCCGCTCTGCGCAACCTCCCTGGGCGCCGCGTCTACGGGTCTGGCGTCGGGCAGCGTCTGCCAGTTGCCCCTCGGCCTGCCTCGGCCTCTGGGCTCCGCGGCTCAGCGTCCCTGCTCGTGACCCTGCCATAGGCTGCCGCGCGCCCCCACAGGGCGGAGGCCGGGCAGGAGCCAGCCCCCTCCAGGACTGCAGCTGAGAGCTCGGCTCACCTGGCGGTCGCCCGGGAAACAGGCCGTGGCCCAGGCAGCAGGACTGCGCAGGTGCTCTTCCGTGAGCCAGGCGCCAGGTGCGCGTGCTGCACTCACGTGCTGTGAGTGGAAAGCCACGGTGGAATGCTGACCTCTTGTCTCAGAATGTGACCTTGTTTGGAGGTGGGGCTATTACAGAGGTAACAAGTGCAAATGAGGTCATGAAGTAGAGGGACCCTAAGCCAGTAGGACTGATGTCCTCGTGGTGACCTGGAAACTGAAACTTGGAGGATATGTCCCGAGCCAGGGCACCTGGAGCCATTAGGGCTGGAAGAGGGCCAGATGGCTTCTTCCCTAGATCCTGCAGAGAGCCGGGCTTGCCACACCCTGGTCCATACTTCCAGCAGCCAGAACTGTAAGACAATAAGTTTCCATGATTTTAAGGTGCTCTAACAATTTGTGGTATTTTGTTATGGCCACCCCAGAAGATGAGTCCAGATGCCATGGTATGTAGCTGGGGAAGCATAACAAACCCAGGGAGCAGGATCATCCCTGGAACTTCAGGGGGCCCACCCATTGGCAGTTTCTGTCCCAGGTACACCTCATATTCTAAGCACCATGCTACAGGCCTCCTGGGGTGCATTTGTTTACATAGTTAGTGGAACAACATCTCTTGCCTTCCCAATGTAAACTCCCCTGTAGGAATCTGGCCAATCCTCATATCCTGATCTTGTGACTTGCAGGATCTGACACATTAACGTCATTGGTAAAAGTATTTAGAGGAGAACCTCAGCCGGGTTGGTTTTATGATGAGCCCCAGTAATGCACACAGGAGATCTCTGAGGATCTCCACCCTGGCCATGCCTTCTCTGAGACATGCTTGTTACTGGTGGAAAATGAACGAGGCCCTGGGTACACAAAGATAATCAAACCAAGGCACCCACTTCTCCACTGAGCCTAAATACAGAGTTTTGGACACTATCCCAGTCAGCCATAAGTATTTACGCTCAAGTGGCAGGAGAGATGAAACAGGTCGCCTGACTCTAGTCTTTTCTGTTGGCTCTCTGTGGATTTTAGAAAATTCATCCAACTTCCTCAATTCTACTTCTGTCTTCTATAAGGAAGTTCTAAAAGGATCTACCCTGTGCATATATAGACCATGCTTACATATAGGGGTAACAAAACAACAAACTGAATTATAATTTCCATATACCTGGCCTCTTGTAAGCTGTTATTACCATAATCCATTAGAACGGGACTCCTAACAGAACTGAAAAGGGGACTAATACCAAGATTGAGCCAGAGTACCTACCAGGAGCCTAACAAGTATGCTCTGAAGTAGTTAACAACTAATATGTGATTCTTACCCTTAAAAAATGTGAATGGTGGGGCTGGGGTTGGGGCTCAGCAGTAGAGCGCTCGCCTAGCTTGTGTGAGATGCTGGGTTTGATCCTCAGCACCACATAAAAATAAATAAATAAAATAAAGTTATTAAAAATGTGAGTGGTGTATTAATATGAATTCCTATGCTTTTACAAAAATGGGCTAATTGGTGCTCACGTCTGATTTCCCACCCAGGAAGAAGGGCTATGCAGTGATCCCAGGCCCTTTAGGTGAATTTTGGAGGATCCAGAGGGGTAGGCAAGAGAGAGAAGTGTCCACCACCAAGGCAGGTGCATGGTCCTGGCCCCACCAGAGGACTGTCACCCTTGCTGGGAAGAGGGGAGAACTGTGTGGCTCCAGCATCAGGAGCCAAGAGAGGCAAGAGGAAGAAGGTCACCACCCCTGAACAAGACTGGCTCTTCTAAACATGGGATTCTAAAAAGTGGCCTCAGGCTCTGCAGTGACCAGAACTAAGACTTGTATCCCGGAATCTGCTGCTGCAAGTTCTTCCCTCCTTTGGGATAATTTCAAAAGCCCAAATCATTTTCATTGAGAGCTCCCTGGGCCTCTTGCCCTGTCCCATGACACTCTTGTCCTCACCTACCTCTCTGGAACACAGGGCTGCTCCGAACAGGGGCATGGCTTGGTGCAAGGTACAGGAAGGAACACAGGGCAGATCAGGAGGTTGGAGCTGTGTTCCCACCCCGCCCCTCACTGAGCATTCACCCCCGACTTCTCTGTAGGATGACATGACAGACTGGATGGGTGAGAGCCCTTTGTCCTCTGGGTTTCCCATCTTGGTATTAAGGAATTGTGTTCCTTTCTTCTCTGGGTACAGATTCCCAGGAACGACATTTTACAAAGCAGGTGGGAAACCCACAGAAGGTAGCTCAACTTCAGTCTGACTTCTCAAAAGTGCTTCCTGGATTTTCTTAAAGATCTGCCAGCTTTTTATGGGCACAGGGAACAGTGTTAATTTGTGTAGTTTCTTTAAAACTCCGAACGGATGGCTTTGGGGTTAAGCAAATGGACATGACACGTGATTGCTTCTAATGATTTGCAACCCAAGAAATTTGTTTAATAAGCCTCTCTTTCCTAGCTACTTTGTGACATTAGAGACCATTTACAACAAAGCTGTCTTCAGTAGTCAAACTTAATCCTTACTACCCTACCTTGGGGAAATGAAGGGATTTTATAACGATCACATAAAACCTTATGTGGTTTGTAAGCCCTGAACTCCGGACAAGCTTGAGGTGGTCGTGTAACAAAGAAACATATCACTGAGCTCCCACTTTAAATGTTTTACATATGGTTTGCTTTTAGGACAGCATCTCCAGTGGAGAGCTTCCCGATTAACACAATCGATTTTCTCGGCCCCAGTGTTCCTGTGCAGGCTGGAGCCAAAGGCCAGAGTCAGCGCCTCAAGCCTGCGTGAGGCCTGGCGCCAGGAGGTTCTGGAGAAGCAAGGAAGTGAGGAAGGGTGGGCACTGGCAGCCTCTGCTGGCACTCCTGTCCCACGCTGGCTCTCAGCAGGGCTGGGCCTCAAGGTGTGATTGCAGCAGACTGTAATTACAAGAGTCAGGGGCACAGAGGGACTCCCTGGCTCTCCTGACCCTACACAGAGGCAGAAAGTCCTTCTACCCAGAAGCCTCTGGGAGCTTCTACTGAGGTCTGAAGCCCCTTCAGATTCCTCTTGGTTCGAGGACGGGGACTGCCTAAGGCAGTCCAAAGATTCTTTGGGAAGATGTTTCCTAGGACTTTAGGAGGCCTGGGCGGTGCCTGGGCTGGAGGGGCAACAGCTCTCGGTTCCTCGGGGCCTGGGAAGGGAGAGGCTTTGCTTCTCCATGCTTCTCTGGAGCTCTGGGCCCCTCCAGATGCGCTGGCGACAGGGGTGCTCCACTCCTTCAATAAGCCCTTCCCTTCCCCTTCCCTGGTGTGCCTGGCCCTGTGCAGTGGCTGCCCCCTGCACACAGCAGACACACAGAGAGGCCAGGGTACCCCTGGTACCCCTGCTGTAGGGAAAGGCCCCCAATGGGGAGAACACCAACACCGGGAGAGGTTCAGGACCACTGTTGGTTTGTTTTTTGTTTTGTTTTGTTTGTTTTTTTTTTAATTTGGATCCATTTGCCCAGTAATGGTTGGACGACCATCCCAAACTGTATGTAATTCTTCCTTCCAAAGAAGAGAACTGAACGTCCAGGAGTGTTTATGCCACATGTGAACACGTCAACAGCCAGCTCTTCAGATGTGAATATTTGGACAAGGCAGCTTGGAGAGCCACTTCTGCAAGCGAGCACGTTTGGGGGCATCCTCCCAGCCCCGCCCATGTTGGCTATTGAGTGTCAAGCCCTCAGGACTGGGCATTTTGTCAGATGTCGGTCTTTGGAAAGCGGCTCCTACACTCATTACAAAGTGTTTTTGATCCATTTTCGGGAAGGGCTTTGTTTGTAACACATTGTTGGCAGTTTGGGAAGAATCTTTTAAGTGGTGTGAACTGCTGGGGGGTGTGCACCTGGGCGCCAGGAGGAAGTGGGTCTCCCGCCCCCGCCTTCTGGGATGAGCCAGAAGCGCCTGTTATTTTGTGACTTGGAAATTAAAGCAGGAGACCTGGGGATTTTGATGCTGAGATTGTGATCTGCCACCATTTACTTCTGACTGGTAAACCACAGATGAGAATTAGGATGGAAAATAGCCCTGCCAAATGTCCGGCTGCTGCAAAACAGGAACTTGAAAGTGGCTGTCCCCACCCCCACCCCCACACCAGGGGCAGGGTCCCCAGTCTGGCCCTGTGTGTTGGGCCACTGGTGTAAAGTGATGAAGGTGAACCTGAAAGGTAACAACCACCTGACCAGAGCTGGCACTGGGGAGGGGACCGTCCTGTGATCCCTAAGAGAGGCACCAGCTTCCATCTCGGGAGCCAGGAAGGCGAGGTCCAGGCATGGCCCCTTGGTCTGTCTGAAGAGCAGCCAGTAGACAGGAAAGCCCTCCGTGATCCAGGAGCCCACCCGACAGGGACTGAAAGGAATCCTGCTCCTGGACTTGGACTCCACCCGGGAAGGCTATGGGATTGGGAAGCGGTATAGGGTGGCTCCTGGGGAGCGCCAGTGGAGGTGGGCCAGGTGGGCTCTTTCTCCTATAGGGGAAGAGACCCAGCCCTCAGGCTACGATTAGGAAGTACAGTGCACTCAAGGAGGCCAAGGAAGGAGGCCCCAACAGCAGAGGCTGGGCTCCTTCTCTCTGGCCCTCTGTTGGGCTGTTGCTTTTCCACCTCCAAGCTGGTTCTCCACCCATGACCCCGGTGTATATCCTTCCAGCTCCGTGTCCCCAGGGCTGAAGCCAGTGCTCCCTCCCAGCTCCCAGTGGAAAAGCAAGCAAACAAACAAAAACCCACCAGAGAAAGGCTCTGATTGGCTTATCATGTATGACAGACTGGACTGACAGCATGATCCGGGACCTGACGTCCACCCAGCCAGACACGTGCACCTGGTGTGGCCAGGAGACCAGGTCTGATGAGGGTGGCAAGGGCAGGAGCTACAGGAGGCAGGGCGCCAGCTGGTGCCCTCCCTGTCCACAGACCTGGGCACTGTGCGTGCCCCTCGGCCTCTCACCCCATCTACTCTTCACTCCTGCTCCTCCACCAGCTGCGTGTGCATAGGGTGCAGGGGCGACTGCAGGGGGTGGGGTCACTGCCCCCTGCAGCCCTGTCTGCCCCCAGGCAGCAGAGGTGGCCTCTGGCCCATAAATGAGGTCCCTGGAGGCCGCGACTCTGCAGCCAGGCCTCCCACAGTCTGCTGACAAGGGGACCCTTTTCATGAAACGGGACAGTCAGACAAGCTGGCACCAGCCCAGGATGCTCTCCCAGCGAGGCCACATACACTCCTCAAGGCCAAGCAGTGTCGCCAAATCTGTGCCTCTGCTCTTTGTCATAGGGATTAATCTTAATTAGCACATTTATTGGAGATTCATTAAGTTACTAAGGAACTAGAAAGATAGGACTTGTGGAAATTAATAATAGTTGGGAATTATTGATGGCTTATTAAGTGGCATGCTCTGGGCAGGGTGCTTTATGCCCATGGTCTTTTTGAATCCTCACAACAGCCACATGAATGATAATGTCATTATCACAGTTTTATAAATGAGGAAACAGAACAGTTGAGTAACTTGCCAAGATCACACAGCGGTAAGTTTTAGACTCATTTACACCCCCAATGTACTGCCTCTTAGACTAGTAGGCACAATGACAACTGATGTGTACTGAGCCTCAGAGGACACCTGGGGCTCTTCCTTCCCAGGTCTACTGTGATGTGCAGGTGGCAATCTCCCCCTTGTGGCAGTGGGCCCTTCAGAGCTCTTGCTCAAGTGGACTTTGCCGTTGCAAAGAGATGCGTTCCCCTGCTGGGGCACCAGGCACGGCTGTGTGGCTCTCAGATGGGGGCCAGGCCTTGCCCATGGCAAGTGCATGCTCTACCACTGAGCTCTACCACTGAGCTCGCCCCCAGCCTGTGAGTGACCACCTTTGTAGGAAGAGGAGTCCCACAGAAATAGAGATAAAAAGAATCCAGACAGTATGAGGGAGCCCCTGGGTACAGTCAGACCTGAAGGCGGCAAGCCTGGCGTCTCATTTCTCTGTGGCAATAAACACTCTCGATTGAATATACAAGTGTAGCTGGGATTTTGTAGTATACAGCCAAGAACCTTGAGCCAGGTGCTGGGCCAGGCGCTGTGCCAGTGTGATCACAACTGTGGCCCTTTCAGCAACTCACAACCTTATGAGGTGAATGTCATTATGCTCATCTTCTAGGTGAGAAGAGTGAGGACTGAAGCAGTCAGTGACGTGCCCAAGGCTGTCCTGCCGTGCAGTGGGAGAGCAGGACATACAGAGTCAGAGGCCCCCAAGCATCGTATTCCTAAGAATATTCTCAATTCCAGAGGACAGAGGATTGGGAAGAGGAAGGGAAGAAAAGGAGTACAAAGAAAGGAAGGGAGGGATGAGAGAGAGAGAGAGAGAGAGAGAGAGAGAGAGAGAGAGAGAGAGAGAGGACTGTTAGCATATTTGAATTGAAGAACTTAAAAATCTTTTGGTGGCAAGTTATGATGGTGTATGTCTAAGGCTTAGGAATTTTATCCTGCTATTTGTTCTTCAAATAAAAGAATCAGAGTTGCTGACTTAGTTTAAACCAACTCCAAAGACTACAGGGTTGACTGCTGATTAAAACCTTGTCTTTCTTCGTCTGAGAAGAGAATAGTGGATACAGCTTCCCCAATGTCTTCCACTTTGCAAATCTGATTTTCATTTGTAGCACTTGAGAATGTCAATGATTGGAAATATGTAACTTGATATTAACAAGCTAGAAATAGTAACTGACTATTCACTTTGGCATCTCTTCAGGCTTGTGTGACAAAAATAAATTGGAAATAATTTAAATACGAATTTAAAGGTGATTTTGGAATCATGAATCTTGTAGGTTTTCTGATCACCCCATGCTGGAGAGCCCATGGGCTACCTACGCAGGACAGTGGGTTCCCAGATAAATAGACTCTCTGGACATAGCATGCAAAGGGTCGATTTAGACTTTGTGTGCTCTGCCGTTTGTGAATCAGGCTGAACACTTTCCATCCACTTTATCTCTGCTCTTTGGGAGATGCACAATCATTTTAATGGTTAAACCTCTATTAAATTGCGTTTTTCAAATCCTCGTTGTTTCATTTCCTCTCAGTTCTGCTCTCTGAAATTCTTTTCCACCTCATCTTTCCTGATCATTCGTTGCTTCACCCACATTCTACACCAAAGCCCCCTGGTTGTGGGCACCAGGGAGAGCCCATACAGGGACCGGGTGACATTTGGGGAGGAAGGAGTCAGCCTCCCCAAGCCTGCTCAGCCACAAAAGGATTTTCAGATTCCCATCAACCTGGGGATGAAGCTATTGGGATTTGGTTCAAACCTGCGTCTTCCGTGGGCAGAAACGGGTTTTGTGCGTTGCTGCGAAGGCTCGTGAGCACTGGGAGTTTAAACTTCCCCGCAGATAGTGCGGGACGCCCCTGAAACGGGGTGCTTCCCAGATACGCAGCAGTCAGGAGCCTGCGCAGAGCAGGTGCAGCCGGGATGGGGGAGCCGGCCGCAGAACTTCCATTT